ACAGAGGCATAAGCCTAGTCTTTTTCGATTTCCAACTGTCGAGGGATCTTTAACGTGCACAGCCTGTAGCACACGGGGCCTCGGTTTAGTGTCCCATCCAAACGACGACAGTTTTTCCATGTCAGCCTCTCTTACCTGCATCACTGACAGGGGGAAACCGGGTTGAAAAATCCGAAGGTATTATCTCGACCTATGCCGGGATTGAACCCTGGACCTTCAGGTTATCGAGCAAGCGTCTAACTCACTGAGCTACCACAGCTCCCTGAGATTGACTGAGAGAAGAACTATTAAAATATACCTGATGCTGATTGGAAGTTGGTTCAAACTCGTATTCACTAACTGGTCTAGTTTTTATCTGTGTTAATGGTCCATTTTCTATTGTCATCTGTTCTAATTGTAAACAGGCTCTGTGCCATAAATTATGAGTTTTCCCCAAATACTAAAAATTAAAAAAATTAAATTAAATCACGATTCTGTATACACGGTATCACGTAATTTGATTGGATAACAGTGGTCATGTGAATTCGGTTTATATCTGTGTAAACCGAATGTAAATATAAGCTTCACCCCTTAACGGACTACTATATCTTTGAGTTTGATTGACGTGGCCACTACACAGCGTCTAACCTACCATTAGAACACATGGTCCCATAGATATTGAAGGAACACAAGATGATAAACCTACTATCACTTAACTTTCAAATAAAAGCTGATAAACCTTCAATAACCTACCTTTAAAACACAAGGTCTCATAGATATTGAAGGAACACAGGATGATAAATCTTCAATCACCTTCCAAAACATAAGGTCTCATGGTTATTGAAGGAACACAAGATGATAAACCGCTTATCACTTACCTTTCAAACAAAAGCTGATAAACCTTCAATAACCTACCTTTAAAACACAAGGTCTCATAGATATTGAAGGAACACACGATGATAAACCTACTATCACTTACCTTTAAAACACATGGTCCCATAGATATTGAAGGAACACAAGATGATAAACCTACTATCACTTAACTTTCAAACAAAAGCTGATAAACCTTCAATAACCTACCTTTAAAACACAAGGTCTCATAGATATTGAAGGAACACAGGATGATAAATCTTCAATCACCTTCCATTAAAACATAAGGTCTCATGGTTATTGAAGGAACACAAGATGATAAACCGCTTATCACTTACCTTTCAAACAAAAGCTGATAAATTTCAATAACCTACCTTTAAAACACAAGGTCTCATAGATATTGAAGGAACACACGATGATAAACCTACTATCACTTACCTTTAAAACACATGGTCCCATAGATATTGAAGGAACACAAGATGATAAACCTACTATCACTTAACTTTCAAACAAAAGCTGATAAACCTTTAATAACCTACCTTTAAAACACAAGGTCTCATAGATATTGAAGGAACACAGGATGATAAACCTACTATCACTTACCTTTAAAACACATGGTCCCATAGATATTGAAGGAACACACGATGATAAACCTACTATCACTTACCTTTAAAACACACGGTCTAATAGATATTGTAGGAACACAAGATGATAAACCTTCAATCACCTTCCATTAAAACACAAGGTCTCATAGATATTGAAGGAACACAGGATGATAAACCTACTATCACTTACCTTTAAAACAAAAGCTGACAAACCTTCAATAACCTAATAGCTATTGTAGGAACACAAGATGATAAACCTTCAATAACCTTCCATTAAAACACATGGTCTCATAGATATTGTAGGAACACAAGATGATAAACCTTCAATAACCTACCATTAAACACATGGTCTCATAGATATTGAAGGAACACAAGATGATAAACCTTTAATCACCTTCTATTAAAACACAAGGTCTCATAGATATTGTAGGAACACAAGATGATAAACCTTCAATAACCTTCCATTAAAACACAAGGTCTCGTGGATATTATAGGAACACAAGATGATAAACCTACTATCACTTACCTTTAAAACACATGGTCTAATAGATATTGTAGGAACACAAGATGATAAACCTACTATCACTTAACTTTCAAACAATAGCTGATAAACCTTCAATAACCTACCTTTAAAACACATGGTCTAATAGATATTGTAGGAACACAAGATGATAAACCTTCAACAAATGTATGAACTGAACTTGGTTGACATTCCTTCTGAACACCATGACTTCCACTACACAGAAATGCTACCAATTCACTGCTTAAAGTCTGTTAATAAAGACAAACAATATATTTAACGAAAAGACTTTGTTGTGTAAACTAGGAAGATAAATTGTATATCAAAGGCCATACAAAATAAATAGTCTGTTTTACAGGCCCTAAAAATGACCGATTGTTGCCTTAATATTAAATGTACATTAAATTTGTGGTAATAAATAATAAATGCTTTCACTCGCTCCGATTTATTCCAGTTGAAAATCTAAAAAAGCACTTATAAGTAATAAATAATAAATTCACCCTCTCACCACGATTTTTGAAAAAAAGACCTGTAAAAAAGACTTTTTATTTTGTATGGTCTAAAGCTTGTTGATTGGTGTCTAGCGGCTTTCAAACAAGATAACCTATTGATATTGGAGTTCGGAGTTGTTGAGTTCTGAACAAGATCCATAGTTTGAATTCTGGCAGTACTGAAGCAAATGTCAGAAGATAACCTATTGATATCAAGATTTGAGACAGTGTGGAGTTCTGAACAAGATCCATAGTTCCAATTTTGGCTTCAATCAAGCAGTACTGAAGCGAATATGTCACATTAAAAATGTTCTTATCCTACACCTACTATTTTGAGGTGGAACGCATTCTGAACTCTGTTGACACTTGTTTAATTGAATGCCTGGTTGATTCTGTGAATCCAGAATAGCAGAATTCTCCAATCGAGCGACAACTGTGAAGGACAACTGTATTTAGATACATACCTGCTGTTGTTTTTCTGTTAATATCTTCCAGATACGAGGGAACAATTCTAACCAGGTGATGTGTGATAATTGCGTATTTTGGTGACAGAGTTGAGACAACGCATTCAGATACTGTAATGTCTGAAATTAATATTTGTAATCTCAAATCTCAATTAAAAACTTCAAATTTCATTACATTATTCAGAAAATACTGCCACAGCACAATCCAAATTGAATCAAAAGGAGTCTGGCTCCGATAATGTTAAAGATGGGTTCCCTTATTTTCATTTCGGAAAATGAAAATGCTAATACTTAAATGGATAGAAGGTAGAGGTGTTCTAATGACTTGTCCATAATCAATTCATAATTAGCTAAATTAGAAGAGAATTACCAGCAGAATTCCAATGAGTGACCGTTCAAGAAAGGTTAAAAAGTCTTTTTCTGTTTATCCAGACTATACATACATGGACATTTATGATTGGTTAAAACTCTTAATTATATGCAATAAGAACATAATGATATGATTAAGAATATATGATAATTCATTAGAAACACCAATTAATCAAATAGTTTGCTTAATTTGACTCTAAAAAATAAGAGAACCCATCTTTAAACATATTTGATAAAAAAGACACTTGGTTGTTTGGACGTGTCAGGCATTTGCCTACATTCTTCAATTATGCTTCGGCCTTGGTAAGCGATTAAGAGGCAAACTAACCTTAACTTCACGACAATTTTCTAGAAATTTAGCTTGACGTTGTAATTGAGTTTGTAAAGACTGTTTAGGGTCACCATATTCTTTCTTATCGTTTTCTTTATTTAATACTTCATCTGAGGATACACCAGTCAGCTCCATGTCAATATCATCCTAAAAAAATGTTAAGATAACAACATATTTCCTTGAGAGTCCTGTCTACTGACAGGTCCATGGCCAAACCTCTTTACATTGATCTTTCCTTGATTAACAGCTGGTCCACTGGAATAGTGATGAAAGATGACTTCTTAAAGGTCCACAGACTGACCAACATTACAACTCATGACCACAAAATTTGTTGTTGCTTCTGGCACTTTCAGATTATCATAGAGGGTCATTTTGGAATATTAATATCATAAGGGTTAAAAAGAAAGCGTGTGATGAAAAATGTGGTTATATATATCGATCTACACGTCTTCACAATTGAAATTCATAAAAATATTTACCTCCTCTTTATTAGAATCAACTGACTCTACATCCATTGGTTCTTCTTTTAAATGTGTTATATTGGCAAATATAGCTCTATCCTGACTGTCGGCCATATTGACTACAGAATTAGCAGACGGTAACAGATTCATAGGTGATGAGGATTGTATTGATAAACCATTTACTGCTACTGATATCAATAACTAAAAAAATAATAAATTCATGAGAGAGAAAGGTACTGTAGTTGTGGTCACTTTAGCAATAGATATCTCAGTCCTTAATGTGTTACACAGTTGAAATACTAGTAAAAATAGTAGTAGTATCAACAGATATAGTAGTTGATTTACCAGGCAGGGAAATATCTGTGTAAATATATAGTAATACTGTTTGAAATATCAGTAGAAATATCAGTAGAAATAATAGTTTAAATATTAGTTCAAATACCAGTGGAAATATCAGTTGAAATACCACAAGAAATACTAGTAGAAATAATAGTTTAAATATTAGTTGAAATACCGGTGGAAATATCAATTGAAATACCACAAGAAATAATAGTTTAAATACTAGTTGAAATACCAGGGAAATAATAGTTTAAATATTAGTTGAAATACCAGTGGAAATATCAGTTGAAATACCACAAGAAATACTAGTAGAAATAATAGTTTAAATATTAGTTGAAATACCGGTGGAAATATCAATTGAAATACCACAAGAAATAATAGTTTAAATACTAGTTGAAATACCAGGGAAATAATAGTTTAAATATTAGTTGAAATACCAGTGGAAATATCAATTGAAATACCACAAGAAATAATAGATTAAATAATAGTTTAAATATTAGTTGAAATACCGGTGGAAATATCAATTGAAATACCACAAGAAATAATAGTTTAAATATTAGTTGAAATACCACAAGAAATACTAGTAGAAATAATAGTTTAAATATTAGTTGAAATACCACAAGAAATACTAGTAGAAATAATAGTTTAAATATTAGTTGAAATACCGGTGGAAATATCAATTGAAATACCACAAGAAATACTAGTAGAAATACTAGTAGAAATAATAGTTTAAATATTAGTTGAAATACCGGTGGAAATATCAATTGAAATACCACAAGAAATAATAGTTTAAATATTAGTTGAAATACAGGGGAAATATCAGTTGAAATACCACAAGAAATAATAGTTTAAATAATAGTTGAAATACAAGGGAAATAATAGTTTAAATATTAGTTGAAATACCACAAAAAATACTAGTAGAAATACTAGTGGAAATACTAGTTGAAATACCAGTAGAAATACTAGTTTAAATATTAGTTGAAATACCGGTGAAAATATCAATTGAAATATGGTGGAAATATCAATTGTAATACCGGTGAAAATATCAATTGAAATACGGTGGAAATATCAATTGTAATACCGGTGGAAATATCAATTGAAATACCACAAGAAATATCAGTAGAAATACTAGTTGAAATACCAGGGAAATAATAGTTTAAATATTAGTTGAAATACCAGTTGAAATACCAGTTGAAATACTAGTGGAAATACTAGTTGAAATACCAGGGAAATACTAGTTGAAATACCAGGGAAATAATAGTTTAAATATTAGTTTAAATATTAGTTGAAATACCAGTAGAAATATCAGTTGAAATACCACAAGAAATACCAGGGAAATACCAACAATATCAAAATGTTTAAATACTAACCTCAATACATTGTTTGAGCCAGAAGTGTGATCCCATGGCCTCCCAATTCTGTGAACAAGTTATATATAACAATCTATCAAAAATCTTTCTTGGCATACTGTTCTCAAAAACCTGTTAGAAATGTAATAATATTGGCCTATAGTCAGAAACATTATAATATCGTGTGTGACCGCTTGAAACCTCGTATATGCCATATTTGGTCATTTGGTCATGAAAACCATGTATAGCAGTAAAAAAATCGATAAAAAAGATTTTAACAAAATACGCGTACAAATAGATTTTTGCGTTTTTCTCGATAAGTTATTTCCGCGTCATATATCGTTATACAAGGTTTCAAGCGGTCACCTACGATATTCAATCTACATTAATGATCATGACAAGAAGGCTTCGAAGCAAAATGGCAGTGTAATCAAGTGATCTGGAGGAAGTTTCCCAAAAAAGGATTTCTGATCTTTGAGAAAATTTATATTTTGTTGTTGATCATTAGTTAAGTTGGCACAATTCTACAGACTGTTTTATGAAATGCATGTATTGATTAACTTATGACTATCAGAAGCACTGTCAAATATCATAGTTGTATGAAACGAGCCAAGTCCCTATTCATAAACAACTAACAGTACATGCAAAAAAAAAATGAAATGAAGGGAGTTTTACGTCCTACTTTTCTGCACCATGTGGGCTAATGAAGACGGGCAACGCAATGCAGGGTGTCATGAGGGAAATTTTGCCAGGACAGCGGCATTAGCCTGCTCTTTTTCGATTTCCAACTGTCGAGGGATCTTAAACGTGCGCAGCCTGTAGCATACAGGGCCTCGGTTTATTGTCTTGACGCTTTTTCCATAACAGCCCCTCTGCATCACTGACAGGGGGAAACCGGGTTGAAAAATCTGAAGGTATTATCTCGACCTATGCCGGGATTGAACCCTGGACCTTCAGGTTAGCGAGCAAGCGTCTAACTCACTGAGCCACCGCGGCAACTAAAAGTACATGCAAAATAATGGTAAATTTACCTCAACAAATTTCTGTCTAATGGCAGGCTGGTTACATCTTAAACCTGCTAAAAATGCTGATTCTAGCTTAGATGTTAACTCACTACCACTTAATGTTTCATCTCTGGAAAAAAAAAATATTTATCATACTTGGAAATATTTATCAATTTTGGGAAATTTTCAACCAAATTATTAGACAATTTGAAATCTTTTTGTGGGAAGTATATCTAAAAAAGACAGTGGACCACAGTCATATACGCCCACCACGACATGCCGATGGTAAAGATTTTGGGGCAAGGGCGATAACTCTGCTTCTAACAGTCAAAAATAGCTCAAATTCGAACTTGATCTTCGTTTTATGAATATGTATACACATACAGAATTTCATTTGATTCCATCAAAAAATCTAGTTTTTAGAGGGTTTACAAGCAAATGTTGACGGGCGGACGGACGGACATAGAGAGATGTGGGCGTATAAAAATTAAAACTTTTATATATAATTTTTATAGTAAGATATGGGAAAAATGTCTGTGAACCCCCATCTTTGACAATTCCTTCGCCCCTTGTCCACCTCATCAAATGATTCATAGATATCAGGGATCCCAGTGAGGAACGAAAAAAAGAGAGGAAATGAAAAATATCAGCTGAAGGTAAAGAGGGCCACAGACTCTCATGTGAGGTATAGAGGGAGATTTCACCATTTTAAGATGCTTTGGGAGTCATTTCCCATACAGAAATCTTTTCATTCCTAAAACTAAATTTTAAGATAGCTTGCCAGGCAAGGTAATATACGCCCATTGGCAGCTTTGATTTTGAATGAAAATATTTAGCAGTACAGTAACAATCACCAGTTTGAAATATTCAACCTTCAACACTTCTTTTGGGCGATAATGAATAATATTGAGTTATTGCCCTTGTTCTTGAAAACGTGTTCAATTTTTAGCTCATGAAAACTTTAGAAGGCAAATATTCAATCTTCAGCCAATAATAAAACCAAGTTTTGTCAAAATCCAGCAACAATCATGCCTTTTAGTATTTAAGAGCTAAATTTGAAAGCGTTTTCAAGAACAAGGGCAGTAACTCATACTAAATATTTTTCAATTCTTCTGATTTTCAATAGGGTTCATCCTTGGGAGATTATGAACACTCACACCCCATTTCATGTGGGCGTATAAAAAGGTTTTATTTGAAAATAAAAAAAATACCAACGGTCAGAAAAATAGAGGAATTCCTCTAAAAAGCGTTAGTCTGGGATCTCTGAGAAATGCCACTGGCATAGATTCAATTTTCATTCAATTTTGTACCAAAAAGAAATAATGAAATTTGGCAATTACCTGTATATATAGTTGACTAGGTCTAAGAACTGTCCGTTTAAATCAGAATCATCAGGGAATCTTTTTTCTACGTTCTGCATCAGTTTCATCAGTAAAATAGCTTTTTCTCTTATTGATGGTGATTGGTTGATCTGAATCTGTGTCTGAAATTGACAAAATTTGATCATGACATAAAGTAATCTCTAATTTAACATCTTTTCTCTGTCGGTGTTTGAAAGATTGATGACCTTGAATAAGTCATCATTCCTCATCTTTTGATCCAGTTAACCCCATTGGCTGTGGATAATCTGGGAAAGATCGATGCCATAAGGTTTGATGAAGGACCGGTTGATATGATCGTTCTGAGCTCAAGTTGTTAAATGTAAGATAGTGGACCACAGATATATACGCCCACAACGGCATACGGATGGTAAATATTCAAGATTTTGGGGCAGGGGCAATAACTCTGCTTCTACCAGAAAATAGCTCAAATTCGAACTTGATCTTCGTTTTATGAATATGTATACACATACTGAATTTCATTTGATTCCATTAAAAAGTCTAGTTTTTATAGCGTTTACAAGCAAATGTTGACGGGCAGACGGACCTTTGTTTCATGAATATGTATGCACATACCGAATTTCATTTGATTCCTTCAAACACTCTAGTTTTTAGTGTTTGAGTGTTTACGAGCAATTGATGTTGATAGAAGCACTTACTGTATAGAGGTTAAACTAAACTTTCTCAAACCTTTCGATTTAGGTCCAAAAACAATCAAAATCGGTTGAAAACTAAGAGTAATAGCATATTCAAGATTTTGGGGCAAGGGCAATAACTCTGCTCCTAACTGTCGAAAATAGCTCAAATTCGAACTTGATCTTCGCT